GGATCCATGCAGCAACCACAGGAGAATATTCCCCAGGTGAAAGTATGTGAAAGCATGCCATAAATCGCTAGCCTTGTTGTGGGTGTAAGTGTGTATGTGTGTCTTGGGCAGTGTGATAGTGTTGAGGGGGCGTGGTGTCGAGGGGCGGTGGTACTGTTTCTGGCTTCGGGCGATTAGAATTGATGTGGGTTACTAAGCAAACATGAAAGGCTATTACGTTAAGCGTTGCGTTACGTTGTGTTATGTTATGTTACGTTATTTCTCTGCTTCTGCAGATATCTTTCTAGCTTTGTAAGGGTTAATTAAATTTTTTGTAGATGACACACCACCAGAAGCTAAGCTTGATTTTGGTTTAGATCAGATTATTGATGGTTAAGTGCGTTTGTTAATTAATTTTGGGCATTATAGGATATATTTCGTTATAGATGAGCTAAGAACAAGTAAGCTTTTCTTTTATATATTATTTACTTGTTATATGAACTCATGGATACGATACTAAAAAGTCAAGTTATAATTATAGTCAAACACATATTAAATATGTTGTTAGTTTAAAATGCTCTTCTTCTTTTAAAATCCCAAAAGCATCTGCAAAAACAGCTGAGTTTTTCATCAAAATATAAATATATCAATGACTCAGACCCACATTTCTGATTTGTGTGATCCGATTGACCGAAATCCCTTAACCCAGCTTTTAGCACACGAACCGTCCCAAAAAAAAAAAAATATTAATTACACATTATTAATTTGCCAGCTTTGTGGACGCGGAGAGATGAACACGCAGGATATGAAAAATGATTTGTTTCCTCCTGTTCTGGCAAAGTGGTTCAGATATTATTTAAATGAATTGTTTTTAGCCACCAACGATGATGTAAAAACAAGAACAACAACAACAACAACAGCTACCGTTGATAAAAACACTTTTTTTTGCTGCACAGGGAAAAAAGTTCTCTTTCTGCGTGGGCGCACAAAATTCGATGGGTTACACCATCAGAGATTCGGGGAAAACTCCTCCTTTCTGATCTGACCGGAGGCCTATCTCGATTATTGTTTAATACGCTGTCATTAATCAATTTGTTTGCCATTGTTTGGGCCTGTTTGTGTGCATATTTTTTTGCTGCTGCTGTTGTTGTTGTTGTTGTTTGGCCAAATTAATTATGGCCCCAAACTCGGTTCTGGACTGATAAGCAACGGCAACAAGAACAAGGCACAAAACCAGTGCAGAATAGTGACAAATTTTTTCGCCAGCATAATAAATGACTTTGTTTTTTGGCCTGTCCATTCGGAATAATTGATTATGCCATGCAGAAAACTAGGTGAAAGAGGTGAAAGGTGTTTGGGAAATATAACTCGGGCGGGGCTTTAATAAAGTCGGGATTCACTCTTCAAGGTCATGATTTTTTTAAGTTTAGTGGTAAGTTGAGTAATAGTAAAATAAAATATTTTAAGAAAAAGTTTCTGTATAACCGATTACATACATTTTTACTTTAAACTTAAAATGCAACCCTTAAATTATATTTTCCAATCAATTTTCTCAGCACAATGCCTGCAATACACAAATAAAGAATTGTTGCAAGTATTATAATGATTTTCAGCATTTATGACCTATGCACTTCATCAGTTTAAAGAACGAGTGGATGCATTTGCTTTCATATTTGAAATGCAAATATTTACATCAATTAAAACGATTTATTTGCGGAATGAATAGACGAATCCCGACAGACACAAATAATCGCACATGTGAATGGAAACTAACTCAATTAAATTCGCTCGCATTGAAGTGCATCAATTACCCGAAGAGTCCTTGAACGAGCTTTGAGCTTTGCCAGATCCATTTTGATTTTTTGCCAAGCTTCTTTGATTTCATTTACCTCAAATGCACTTGATAAATGCAAATCAGTAGCGAGCAGAGCTGAAAAACCATAGAAATACTTGTGCATTCCCAAAATAGATACACACACACACACACAAATAGAAGTAGTGAAGTATCTTTGAGGTTGCCGTGTTCGGGCCAAGATTTCTTTTGGCCATTTACAAATTGCTCAATGTCTGGCTGTAATAAATTATTTATGTTATTGCGGCGTTGTCAATAAAGACATAAGTGCGCACAATCAAAAGCGAGCTCAAAAGCGGATTGACACCGAGCGGGGGATCAAATCGCTGGGGGAATTCGGTCGAGCAATTACTATATGCTATATGGTAGACCAGCTGCAACAACAACAATGGGGCTATAAAAGCGCAACCCAAGTGCAGGCCATAAAAATGGAAATAAAAAAACAAGAGACGAGAAAAAACCCCATTTGACACCGAAATCAAATTAACATACAAAACTTACATTCCACATTACAAGCAGCCAAACAGACGAAGCTTTTTGTAAGCGAACAACAAACAATTGGGTAGGGAAAAATCCAAAAAAATCACAGTTGGATGTCGGAGACCTGTCATATAACACTTGTTTGCCTCACTTGCGGGGCATTTTCTTGCCTGCACACCGAACACACCACAGAAATGGTTTGTTTTCCACACTTTAATTTTTGTTTCATTTTTTTGGGTGCCTTTTTTTTGGCATTTAAAAAATTCTTGTAGCTGTCGCGTGTAGCGACAAATTGCCATTGATGTGGGTGGTGGAGTGGGTGGCCAGTGGGGAGCTCAGAAGTGCATTCCAACAGGTGTTCGGATTAGACGGCATTAACCATATTTTGCTGGCGCCAAGAGATATTTTTCGGCCCATTATAGAACTTCATTTAGTAGGTTAAGAAAAAAAGTCATATAAGTCATGTATAACTTTAATGTTTTCTGATTTAATACCTAGCTAACTATTTTTTGAAGTTGCGCTTTTATTTGAATTATAATTTATAGTTATAATATTCGATAATATTCTGAGATACTCTAGGATTTTATTTTAATTTTAATTTAATATGAGAGACGACGGTATATGTTTCAGGAATGTTATGAATGCGTCATCTTCAAAGCTATTTGCTTAAATGATCGGTGGAGTGCATCCCCCAAAATTGTGGCACTGAAATGCAGCCTAATGTCACCGTATCGCAACCCCTTGAAGGACCTTCTCCAGTGCCACTCAAACTGTAATTAAAGCCAACGCATCGACTCTTGAAGCCTTCGCAATCCGCTCGCTCAACAATGGGAGTTTAATGCTTGGGCCTGGGGCACTTTTCAAGGCATAATCATTTTTTGTGCCCGAACAGGGATAATAAATATGTCGCAGGCACTTGAGGCAGCCTCTCGCATTCATGCCACTGCACACGGAGGAAAACCAACCCCGTGCCACCCCCTCCACTTCCTTTTCGGTGCAAGTTCTTGAAACGTGTACGAGGCCTGCACTGTCAATTATGTCTTAATTCGTATCTAATGGATATTTTCTGTGTGAATTTTCATGATTAATCGCCGCCCGAGGGTGCAAGAGGGACAGAAATCACACTAAGGAAAACAGGACTTCATTTTGGACCTTATTTGTTGTGATTTTTAATCACAGCTTCAGAAATTATGGAAACATTAATTTATATTTTAACGAGCTTCCTTTTTTCTGTAAATGTTGATTGATTTTAAAACTGGAAATCAATCAAAATGTAATAAAATATTTATAAAAATTATTATTAAATATTTAAAGACGCATGTTATATTACTTTGCTATACTTTTTTAAACTATGGTTTAACAAAAATATTTTCCAATATTTTGGTAAGTTTTTTTTTAAGATAAAGTGGTGAACATTATTACTCACTTAGTTCAGGCTTGAGAACTGCTTTCAGTGTTCAACTAAGAATTTTCTCAGTGCACCCAAGGGGGTGGCTCGCCGACTGCAGTTGTTCACACATGTTCACAAAAAGAGTGCAAATATTGGGGGTGTTGGGGGGCGGACAATGGAAACACGAGCAATAACTCAACTCCACCGAAGGTTTCCAACTTGCTTTCCCCCGTCGATTTTCTTTTTTCGAAAATTTGCAAGGCGGTGGGTGAAATTTGCAATTGCTGGGGTGTGGCAGTGGCATTAACGGCATATGCACCGTATGTGTATGCATGTATGCATGTGTGTGTGTAGAGTACATAGGTGGGTTTGTGTGCGTAGACGACGACGTGTTGCAACTTCCGGTGACGTCGGCGTAGTCGCAAAAAGTGATTACGCGGCATTTGTGGCAGCAGCAAACCGGCGACGGTTTTTGCAAACATTTCCAAGAATGCAACCGCATTTTCCACCCCGCCTCCCCCCGAAACCGCCCACTTTTTCGTTGGTAAACAAAAAGCATCTGAAATGCAATTCTCAGTTCTGTGGCACATGGGCGCCATCTAGCCGCGCTTAGACGAACTATCTGCAGAGGGGAGAGAGTTTTCTCTTTAGTGCTCACTTTTATCTAAGAGAGCGAGAGCAAGTTTATCTTTATCTATAATGCATTTGCATTCTTTTTCGGCTTTTGTTGTTGCTATTGCTGCGACCGCTCCCAAAAAATCAGATTCACATGTCGTTGTTGTTGGTTTCTCTTTTTATTTATTTATTTTACTTAGCATCGAATCTGATAAGAATGTTACATATGTGTGCTGGGCGAGCAATGAACTTATTGGAGTCCCCGTAGGCAGTTCTAATTGGGATGGGTCAATGCAAGCGGTGAAGGCTAATTAGCTGTGGGCGGCGGAAGTGACATCTTATTGGATGGGAGATAGGACTAATGGAAAACCTAAGATTTCCTTTTGTTTAATGCTTGATAAGAAATCTTAGTGAAATATGCTTATTGTCTATACTCTCTGTTAAGGTCAGTTTTCATATATACATGGCTTAAATTAGGTATTTACCCAGACCTTTACTTTAAACATAAAATATTTAGAAATAAAACCGATATAGTTTTCTTTATTTTATTACTTATTGGTTTTGTTTAACAATTTTTGGAGCAGATGCTAGAAAACCTGAACTGAATTTTCTTTGATGAGGATTTCTAAACTCTTTTTTGCCTCAAAGATCCTATAGGTCCTTCAGGTTTTTCTTGTGATTAGTCCCACTTCTCCCGGCCCAGCACATTAGCACACCTGTGCGCCTCATGCGGCAGCCACACACCATTGTCAAATTGCTTTGGCACACAAAATGCAAAAAACACGCATTCAACACCCACGAGACTCATTTGTGGGCGAAATTGTCAGTTAGCCGGGTTCGAAACCAAGCAGCCACATCTTATCTGACTCAATGAGAAACCAACTTGAGTTTTGCCGGCCGAGATAAATCTCCCGTTATCTGAGTGTAAGACTCTCATTGGATTCGTGCCTCGGCTCTCGCACGAAACAAAACGCCTTGTTCGTTTTCTATCAGCCTCTCTCGTTTACAGAGCTCTGTTGGCAACCGTCGGCTCTTAACAGCGGCAGAGAATCGGTGCAAACAGTTCGTGGAGTGCACAGATAAGAAACACAGCGGCAGTTCTTAGGCTCTCTCCTCTCATCTGCAGAAAAGTTAAACCGGTTTTCTCTTGCTCCCGCTCTCGTGTAAACGAACATCTCTCCGAGCCATGCCATGTTAACTCGCGACGAAGCTGACGTCACGTAAATCGTTCATACGCCGCGTTGCGTTAGTTCGAAAAAAAACGTGAAAGTGTGTGGACATGTTGTGAGGCGCACCGTTGTTTTCAATAGCAGCCAGCAGATTCGCGCGTGCAAATTTTCTCTCCCTTGCACCCTCCGTCGACGGTGGTTGTTGTTGCCGTTATTGTTGCCGTTGTCGTCGTGCGGGCAACTTGCTTTTTCGGGGGCGGGGCACGCGGGTCATCGCAAATAGCAAATAGCAAAAAACGTCAATCGTTAATCGGCATCGGCGAAACGTGTGTGCAGAATTAATGAAAATACTCGCGCCGCTTCATCAATGAAAACAACAAAAAAAAAACGAGACTATACGCCAAATAGTATCTCATAGATTGCTTTATAGCTGTGCTTTCGGTTCACGTTGTGTTTAGGCCAACATTTTTGTTTGACAACAGTGCGTGCTAACGAACCTGGCTTCCAATTGCCAATTCAATCGCGGTAAGTCCTCCATTTGGTGCTTAATTTCGGTGTTTATTTGTTGTTAAGATTAGTACTAATGTTGATTAGTTTAACCGCATATAGAAAATAACAACTTGGTTTGTTGATTTTTAGTTTTTAGGTGATTTAATTTATTATTATTATAATGCATAAAATATTTTAGTCAAAAAGGTAATCCAAATTGATAATTTTACATGCATACAAACAATAACAAATAATTATATATAATTCTTAACCAGTTCATAACACATAATAATTGAATATCCAGAACAATTAATAAGATTATGTTGGGTTGTGTTTTGCAACTTTGAAACTGAAAATGATAAAGGAAAGGAATTATAATTAAGCTTTTAGTAATATTCAAATGAATGAATCATAATTTTAAATTCAAATTTGGAGTGCAAAAACAATTTTATAAAATTAGATTCCTAAAGCAACAATTACGAACATAACACCTTTCAGTTACTTAAAACGAATGCTAATAATAGATTCTTGCATAAGAACTTTCATATTTTTAGTACAAAGATTGGCTTATCCTCAGATTATAAACCCGGTCAACTTTAAAGCCCTGAAATTGACTTGACAGTGCATCATGACATTCTTTTTCTTTGTCTGCCGTTTCATGTTCGATCGATAAGTTTTATGAGTTTTCGTTGTGAAATTTTGAAATCATTAATTATGTCTCGGGCCGCAGACTCGTAGTCGGAGTCGGAGTTTCCGTGCCAGCCGAAATGTCCCGTCTCTTTTGGGGTTTTCTGTCTGGGGAACAGGTTTCGTTAGAGCGAAAACTTAAAGAACTTTTCGAGGTTTGTGCAATTCCGGGAACTTGTTAGGTGCTGCCTGGACTCGTGTTTGCTCGCCCCTCTCTATAGAGCTGGGAAAGATGGGAATCTTTATGAATGAACGAGGTGGGGCTCGGCTCAGAGGTTTGGAGGCTTGGGCGGCCGGCTGTTCTAAATGCCTCGTGTTGTGGGCCTTTCTTGTTGACATTTTTGAGGAATGTCGACTTGGCCCGAGTAGCTGGAAAAGCGGGAATGGATTAGACGTGAGCTGGCATAAGACTGAAGAAGCTGCGATGTTTCAAGCTTCGAAGAATCTTAAATGGAAATAGAATTTGGAACAGAATCAAGGGTTAATTTCAAAGAAAATGATATAAGATGAATTCATGTTAAAAGAAGTAATTGTTATACAATATAATTGTACTGAAAGGGATTTCAACAAACCTTAAATAAATTTTTAAAACATGTTAGCTACTATATTTATTTTATCATCACCTTTTTTACTTATAAAAATCCATAGCGTTAGAAAGATAGGGATTATAACGATTCTTATCTCTGTGTCGCGCCCTCTATTCTGGGTTTTCCATCTTCTGGTGACCTTCATTATCTCCTCTGAGAACAACCTCGGGGGGAAGTCTTAAAGCAAACCCCACTCATTAAAGCTCCCGGCTGCTGTTCTTATCGGGGCCCACAAATCCCCACCGAAAACGCCAAGGCCAATGCGTAGAAGAAGAAGAAGAAGCAGAACCGCCAACCTGCATTAGTCGAGCAGACATCTGAAGCAGGGGAAGTGGAAGCTAACTGGGTCTGAAACAGAAACTTTTTAATTACCAACAGGAAAAAACATTCGAGATAGCAGGCAGGCAGGTAAGATGGGGGCAGGTGAGGCCGTGTCTCCTTTACATAAATTGAAAATATAGCAACTTTTTAGGCACGAGACTCTATCTGGTGTGGATGTGGATGCGTCTGCCAAGAGTCCGAACTCGAGAACCTTTTTTTTTGTGCTCTCCCACTGACCCAAAAGTATTTATGACTTTCGTAAATAAAAAAGAAGCGAAGGAGAGAAGCAGCAGCTTTTAGCCAGCTCAGAGTTACAAATTTTACGGCTTAAATATTTTTTAGCCATTAGATAAACAAACAGAACAAGCGGGAAAGGGATGGAGATAGAGAGCCACGCGGGAAAAGAAACGAAAATATCTTTCAAGTACAATGTTAGGTAAATATAAACAAAACATTACGTCTTCAGATCCCACACTTCTTTTTACAACCTCTGATGCTGCACTTCGCCGCTGTGTTTGGGTTCTTCTTTTTCAGCTACTTAAAGCTTTTAGAGCAGAAGCGAGATGTAATATAAATTACATTAGCTAAGTGCCAGGCGGCAATTAAAAACAAAAAATACTCGTGAAGTTTTCCTCCGCCGCCGTTGTTGTTGATAATGTTGTTAATGATGTTGCGGCAGCATCTTCAGCAGCCCCATTCCCATCCGCAGCATCGTCATCAGTGGCATCATCATTAAGAACATCATTGCCACCATTAGCAGCATCATTAGAACGTCAACTTAATCAAGGTTAAAAAGCATGTGGCGTGCCTGCCCCAAAAATCGGGGAAAACTCGAGAGATGCGGGACCAGCCATCCTGTTCACTCCCTTTCGGTGGGGTATCTTTATATATATATATATCTTCGATTCCCAGTCGCTTGATGCTGTAATTATTGACGCCGACGATGTCTTCCGAGATAGACATAAACAAAAACATATTGCGATGGCTGAAATTCGGTAAGAATTTTCCGTTTAATGTGATTAGGAAAAGTTGTGCAAGGATTGGGCAAATTATGTTGGCCAATATTGGGTAATATTTTCCGGAGCTGCGCGCTGTGAGGTAATTGTAGGGTGAACATAAATGAAAGCTAATTGGACAGGAAAAAATTAAGAGAGGAAATATTGATTAATGAATATAAAGTCTAGCACTTCATTATTTTATATTTTGTAATAGAAAGAGAAAGGTAACTGTCCAGCTAATTTAATCACACACGAATCAAAAAATCTTTTAAACCGTAAAAACCTTTATTTATTTAATGTTATCAGATTTATTTGTGTAAGCCACCATCAGAATCATACCATTGTAGTTTTTATAACCCTTGTTTACGTTCCACTTTTCAATTCAACCACCAAACAATCTTTTTATCTGCCAACCCCATCATCTTACGAGTCAGCATTTTGCTGCCTTGACATTTATTACACCAAACAAATACTTGAAACTCTAATAACCCCAGTAAGAAAATCACCCCAAATTACGAGTCCGAAAATAAGTTCCCCCGAATGACCACCATTAGGCCAGAAAAATCAAAACATTTTACAACGGCAATTATGTGATTTTTTCTCGAGTGATCAGAGCCAAAGTCAAAGCAATTTCTGTTTTAATAACCAGAGCCCGTGGCCAAGCCAAGTCCATTAAAATTAAATATCTCTATATTTTGCAATTAAATCAAAGGCAAACTGCGAATGAACCGAATTGAAATGCGGGAGAACCTGCTCCATTATATGGACATTATCTGCCTGCCCATAACTATCGGCTCAATCATAAATTTAATTAGCATAATTGACTCGGCGAACGGATGTTCTTTTTCGATTTGAGGTTTCAAAATTTCGCTCACGTAGGCGCAATTAAAAATGGGCTGGCAGCTTTTGCGAGCCATATGCCCGGGTTCTCTTCCCCCGAAAATATTGAAGATCAGGTGCGGGAAATGTGGGGAGAAATGCAGGGAGAAAGGTGTGAGGAAAGCTGGCAACAGCTGGTGGAACGTGCCATTGACACTTTCGATGAAACGCGAGCGAAAGAGTTTATAAATACTTATTCCCACTGCTTGTCATTCAGTTTACCCAAAATCAAAATAAACGCAACCCATTTATTTCTAGTTTCTGTAATGTTCTTCGATGTGCTCATGTTTATATTTGGCTTGCAGTCGGTTGATGAACCAAAAAAACAGAATTCAGTTTTCCATTTCCATTTCCTCTGCCCCAATAATATTCTATGCGTCATTTGGCAAATGAGTGGAGTCGGTCTGTGAGTCGCCGCTTATCTTGTGTTTACCTTTGGGCGATAAGGCGCCAACTCGATAAGATAAAGCCACTCTGGATCTATGCCTCGATAGGGTGTGACTTGGCGTCGATTTTCGATTCTCCACATAAAAGTAATTCGCTGCACTCATGCTGTTGTGCAAGCTGCTCCCATCGAAATGGAAATGGAAATAGGGGCTTTGGGGGCGGCGTGGAACTAATGGACTGTTTACTTATTTATGGGCCCTGAATGTTGGTCAATATTTGTGGTTTCCCCCAGCGAAACAAAGCCAGCTGACTGAAAGGAGTTGAAAGGAAAAGACGCCAAAGCTTACCTTCTGTTCTTGATGGTCGGTCAGCGGGGTTGGGGGACATAATGTGGAAATAATTTATAGATAGGATAAGCTCACAGAGAAAGAATTCGGTGATTGACAGTAGGGCGTCCCACATGGCCGAAGATTAAGGTACTTTATTTTCCATTGCGAGAGATAGGTGAATTAATAGTAATTACAAATTTAACTACTACTAAAATTTATTTAACATTTGCTTTTTGGGCACCAAAAATATTTTGTTTATACCTTGGCCTAAAATATATAGTATGACTATGCTTAAAAAATGTTAACTCAAAATAAACATAAATTCCCACAGTTTATTACCCCAAAATGAGCTTCCATAGCTGATTAATGAACTCATTGCCCGAAAGATAATCGTTCGGCTAATTTCGCATTAACAAAACTCAAATGTTTTTGAATTTTTTCATGGCCAGAGAGCCCAAGTTCGGCCAGAAACATCTGTGCCAAGTGTCAAAATGTAAACAGTTCTCGAAAATGTACATATTCACAGCTCGCTTTGACCGAACAGTGAAAATCCATTAATACAATACGGAACCATTTAATAGCCCGAGAAGAAAAAAAAAACTAGCGTGACGACAAACAGAACATGATCCATAAAATTCAGATCGGGCGGGACCAGAAGCGAGCAATTTACGACAAATATGCAAAATTTTAAAGTTAGGGAACGCAGATACAACCAACTGATAGATGGATGGACGGATAGATTGCGTTGTGGCCGCAGCGTAGACGCCCACAAAAAAGTCTGGGCATAAATAAGAGCAAACGTCACACGAGGCAGAGCTGGGAAATAAATATGAAAATGGGCTGACAAC